GCTAATGCTAGTGGTCCTTTATGCTAGTGGAAAGTACCGTATTTTTCGCTCTATAAGACACGCCTGACCGTAAGACGCACCTATTTTAAGGGGAGGAAAACAAGAAAAAAAATATTCTGAATCAAATGGGCACATAATCACAGGCACATTCCCCACCACTTCCCCATGGGCTGCACATCTGACAGACTTACTGCACACACATATTCGCTCTATAAGACGCACAGACATTTCCCCTTACTTTTGAGGGGGGAAAAGGCGCGTCTTATAGAGCAAAAAATATGGTAATTCATTTGTGTCCATCTTCCATATATACTTCTTTATAAATGTTTTAAAGCATATAAGTTCTTAGATGACAGCATAAAATTTCTATCAGCAGACTGTTAAAAACCTGGACCTAAAAGTGATCCAGGTTTAGCTGGTAGTTTTAATTGTAGTCATTAGTTTCCTTAAAACAGTTTGTGTTCTGTTGAAATTGTTTCATCTGATGTTTTTAAAATTATTTTAGGTCACCTCAAGCAAACATTTTGGAAAGCCAAAAGATAACAATAGCAATATAGGACGAACCACTTAAGGTCCTGTTGTTCAGACTGAAACAGCTTCTCTGCTTATATTATGTGGAAGAAATGTAAACAGAGTTGCGTATGACAAATGATATTGCTACTAAAGTCTGCTAGCCAGTACTCTACCCATTCATTTTAGTAATGTTCAGCCATGGCCATTATTTTGAGCCACTTAGCATGTTAGAAAGGAAAGGCTTTAAGCAATACAAAAGCAGGGGAGAGAGGAGACAGCGAAATACATTATCCAGATGCCAGGATAGAACATTCCTTTGCAGACGGGGAATGGGATTAAAAACATACAGAGTAAATGAAATCCACAACTGCTCTCTGACTGGGTGACTTCAGACGACACATTAAGGCACGCTGCAAATCAGTTACACAGGTTGCTTGGAGAACAACCCCCAGAGCACCTGACAGATGATCAGGCTTTTCCTTCACAGCAGAATCTGTCTTGTTTCCCCACTCCAGCTGCTAGCCTTTTCACTCACTACCTTCAAAAAATATTTTTTAGGAGCATCAAAAAGTACAAATGGCATTATTTTCCCCCGGCTCCTGAAAATTGTGCAGTTGGGTTATTTTCTTCAGTTATTACTTTGGTCAGCCCTTTATTGTACAATTATGCATGTGTACCTTAGCATTGTCAACAGCCTTGCAGTTTCAAGCATGAAAGAGAGCAAAAAAGAGAACTGACCTAAGACGCTGTAAAGGGCGGGATACAAACCTTTTAAATAATAAATAAATAAAAAGTGGGTAGGTAACATTATGGAAATTGACATTATGGAAAGAGTGTAGATAGGTAAACTTATGCACAGCTGCCAACTGTCACTTGCCTAACTATCAGTTTAAAGGGGGGAAATTGCAAAAATAGATGCATCAAAAGGGGGTGGCCACAATATCACCCCCTTAGCAATGTAATATTCTTGATTTCAAGTATCAGACTGATGGATCTTGGCATCCTCTATCTTTTCAACATTTCCCATGTCTCCAGCTGCTTACTGCAAGTCTCTGTGGAGTTTTGGGGACTTAGAACTAGACACAAACATAACGGCTGGCAAGTAAATTGAAGGGAACCTTGTGCATCTTCAGTTACTGTTTGTTATGGCAGCCGCACAAATTTCTCCTCCATTCACTGCCCCTAAATTGGTGCAAATTTTCCCTCCATTTACATTCCAGTTATTATATTTGCATATACTTCCCACCTCCCTGCCCTGAAAGTGCAAAAATTCATTTTTTAAAAAGATAATCCTTAAGAGATAGGGAAACCGGATGCAGCCAACAGGGCAGCAACTCCAGGACTTGCACTGGAGGACAGAGCAAATGGGGCACCATCCATCTGCCTCCACAGAGTTTTTATGAACTATCAGAATCTGCAGTAACCACAGCAATAGCTGGAAACTTGGGAAGGTGTTGAAATGGCTGAGGACTGTAAGAACTCTCAGCTCACCATTTAGAAGCTAGAGTTTATACTGCTAAGGGGTTGCTATTGTTGCCACCCCCTTTTGGTGCACCTCCTTTCACTGCTCTTTCCTCATTGCTTTTCAGTTAACAGCTGCCTATACTGAGCAAATTAGCCTATTAGCAGTTTCACTTTGTCAATCAGCTATCTACTCTGTTTCCTTTTGAAAGCTCACACATATTGGATGGGCAGAATTTTGGGGAACTAGAAAATGGGTGCACACCAGTGAAAGGTCCTTCCAAAGTGCTGCTTGGACATCAGGTGGCGCAGCTATGCCTGGCAATGGCATCAGTAAGATTGAGATGGGTGGTGCTGCTGTTTGACTTGCTGATCCCCACAATGCACAATTAACTTAGAATGCCAGATAAGGACAACTCAGGAACCCATCATGAGTTAAACCCTAGAATGAAACATGGGTTGTTAGGATGGCTTCCTGCTCCCAAATAAGCCAACTTGCAGGAAGCTGTCTGGATTCAGGTAACATGACAGTCCACTGTAGCTAGTACACACAATGGGTTGTCTTATGTCTATGAAAGTTCAGAGCAGCCTACAGGTTGCATTTTAATTCTACTGAAGTAATCACTCCGCCATTAATATTTTGATCTGCTTGTGTCCATGCAGCCTTCCCCAAACCGGTACCATCCAATATTAGGGGCTGCAGCTCCCAATATTCCTGACCACGGACAATGCTGGTGGGACTGCCTATCCTGGTTCACATGGAGGGACCAGGTAGGAGGATAGATTGTTATAGTCATGCAGTTGTCCGACCCAAAGTTTTGACTGACTGTTCCTGAAGCTTGAGTAACATCATCCTGTAATCTCAGGCTGGTGTTTTGGAGTGTCAGTTGCACTGCTGAGCTGTTCCTCCCACCCTTACATGTATTGTGTTCTGTTTGTTCCAAACTTTCCAACAGTTTCTTCTCCTTTAAAAGGGAAAGACCCCAATTGGTTCATACTGCTGATCCCTGATGCCCTTATCTCACATAAAAACAAAACAAAACTGTAGTCTTTTAATGAGATAGCAGAGTTAAATATTAACTAAAATCTTTCTGATAAGTGAAAACTTTTCAGAGGCCAAAAGTCTGTCAAATGTTATTTTGGTGGAGCAGTAAAAACGGGTGGGGGACAAGGTGGGTATTGGGAGGACTGTCCAAAGCTGAGGTGTAGCCACAGAAAGGCTTTGACCATGGCCCATCCTGATACAGGCATGCATGCTAGGATGAAGAACTGTATTTTCAGCATTTTTGAGCTGTTGAGTGTGATAAACAAGAATTCTATTGGGGCTTTAAAAATGAATTTAGCACCCCTTTCCTACCAGTTTTGTATCCAAAAGAAAAAGGAGTCTACCTGTTCTGTATCTAAAAGAAAAAGTAGCAAAGTGCCCACTTGTGTGTATATACACAGACAGGCACGGTTTTTTTCAACTCTTTAGGTTACTAATCCACAGCATACTTTCCTAACTTGATGTCCTCCAGATTTTTGGACTACAACTCTCATCATCTGCAGACATCATGGAGGATATAGGATGATCTACAGTTTGCAGAGTGAGCTTCATGATTCAAATAGTTAAGAGCAGACCATACAGAATTAGGTTAGTCCTGAAGCAATGCAAGACTGTGGTTTTCTTTTTTGTGAGATACCTTGGACAATGTTGGTACATTGGCAGAATTATTTAGAATGAAATTTAAAAGTTAGCATATTAACAAAGAATTGGTTTTCATATTTCAAGTGGGAAGGAAATTTAATTACTAGCAGCTTGATTATAATAAGCAGAATTGTTGTCTGTGGCACATACTAGGTGTGGCACTAGCCAAAAAACAAACAAATCATTGCTCCAATTTCACCAAAAGCTTTAAAGAAATACAGAATCTCAATTCTTCAGGTCTTTAAAACAGTGGATTGAAACACCAAATTCACCAACAAACCCATATGAAGCACAACTACTATATATTTCTGCAAGGAATTGGGTTTCAAAGTCTTTGTTTGCTAGACCTTGTTCTATACTGCCCCTCAAGTCCATTAACTTCAAAAAGCAAAGTGAGGAATAAATACAAGTATGACACCTTTGAAGAAGCACAATAAAAAAGTGAAAAAGTATTCTGTGAACTGTTATCACATTCAGTAGTTTTGTAACTATAGTTCGATCATGATTCAAACATCTGCTCAAATTATTTATTATTTTTAGGCTACTTTAAGTATGGAAACCATTCAGACAATATAAAAACGAACACAAAGTAATGATGTTCAGTTTAAAAAGCCATGAATGTAAGTAAAACCAGCAGTCCCAAATCAAGAAAAGGCCAACATAAAAGATATGGATCGTCAGAACTTTCCTGAAGATCTGCAAGGCCTGATGAACCCAATGTAAACTCATTCAATATGCAGGGGGCAACTTCTAAAAAGGACGTGTCCCCTGTACTCACCATCATAACTTCTCTTGGTGACAAGCAATGAGAAGAGCCCATGCTGATGACCTCACAGTGCAGGCAGTCCTTCAGGTAACTTGGGCAAACTATTTAAGGCATTAAAAGTCACATGCCAGCACTTTAAAACTGGGCTTAGAAAAATACTGGCAACCAGTGCAATTGGCACAGCATTCATGTCCCTTGAGCCAAACCATTCTCCAGATGAGCAGCCACTCGTTTCTAGATCAGGACAGGTCAGCAGAGCTTCCTTTTGCCTTGTTTTTGGATTGTTTCCTTTCTCACTGTGCAAGCAGTGGTCCTGCCAGGCTGCAGGCAGCACTGAGTACTGCCCTGTAACCACTAGGAGAACACACTAGGATATCTCAAGCTGCTTCATGTTCTTGCTTACTTTCTAAGGTATTATTCATTTGATTTTAGGAATTTCAAGGTAAAACAGTATTATTCAACTGTGAAACAATTCTATCCAACTTAAACTGATATTTTCAATTATCATCTTTGACAAAAGATAATGCCTAATAAGCGTATTTGCTTAGGCAAGATATATATCAGCATAAATGCTCATTGTTAAAATAATTTTAATTATAAAATTGAAGAAATTCCTTTTCACTTTTCAACACATCACTACATATGCCTTGTGAGAACAAGATTTACAGTCATAAGTTGCACATAAAGGGTTTATTTTAAATGTTTTAAGGATAGAGTTACATCATAATTATAAAAATTACTTACAGAATTAAGTAACAGATTTAAAGTGTTTATACTTCTAAATGCAGAGAACAGGGAACTGTCTACATTGTTAAAAAATAAAAAAAAATAAACCAAGCTCTAGAGATGAAGTCATTTACCTAATTTTAAAATGTGAACACGAAGACCTTTGAACTATACACATACCAAGAACCATCCAAATTGCACTAATGATGTAAAATACAAAAAGCACAGCATTTCCAAGGAACCACAAACTTACTTTTTGGTTCTCTGAAATGGTTGCAAGTAATATATCTGTGAAGAAGCCTTCATTTTTAAAGTGTACCAATTTAAGAAGGTTAAAACATAGTGAAAAAGGCTTTTTTCCATTATTGTTTGGGGCTTTTAACATGATTATACTTCAACTTAATTTGAGATTTGGCACAAAAAAGTGTAGTGTTGAGTTTAACTGATTTTTATTTAATTTTGAACAGAGTACATGGTCCCTTCAAACGCTGCATGACACATACAACTGGAAAGTTACCTCCTGTTGGCACTATGTTTGCCTCACCAGTGCATTTAATCCTACTAACCACCATTAAAACAGCACAATAAGCAAATTCACAAAAAACACAAAATAAAAAACCTAAAAACCTAAACATTTTTAACATGCAACTTTTAAGTTTGTTACATTGAACATTCTACCTTCTAAGCATGCAAAAAAGGGATGGTCTGAATTTAAGTCTGTCTTTTAAATTTTTACAGGGCAGCCTGACATCACGCAAAACACACAATATACAATACTACAGCAGGTAAATGGAGAAAGGCCAGTAACTTTTATACACAGATCCATAGCTTGTGCCACCACAAGCCCCATGATAACTTGGAAAACCATGTTGAACCCTTAGATCAAGGAGCCAACATTTAGTTACCAGGGTAACAAGCACTGCATGCAGATCTGAAACATGAGCCTAAAACAAAGCCCAAAGCAGATGGGCAGAGTGTAGAATTAGTCTCAAGCCTAAAAAAAGTGGTCTAAGCTATCAAAAAAGCAGACAATGTGGACACTTAAAAAACCATAAAATTTATACAGAATATAGATTACTCTAAACTGGCAGAATGTGGTGTATTAAGAGACTTGCAGAATACCCCTCTTCCCAGCAACTGCAAGCTCTTAGAACGCAACGTTTTCGGTCTACTTAATCCTCAGCAAGTATCTTGAGACATACCTTGGATTCATTGTTTATGTAGCCCACAATTCAAAAGTACGTTTATGTGTGTATCTTGTGTATGTGTTCAATACACTCACTCATTCTTGTGCCACAAATATCAACTTGGGCTCATGGAGCCAGGCTCAGCTTTGAGATTTACATGCAGGACTCTAAAGAGTCAATAGAAAACATACAGATCTGCAGGATGAAAAACACTGGGTTTGCAAATCTGCTCACTTTGTTCAAGAACACAGGAACATTTATGACTCAGGTACTTAGGGCTTAAGGACTGCATTTGAGAAGCTCTTCATGGAAAAGACAATAGCCTGCCTTTGGTTGCCCATGATGAAATACTGGACATAATGCAACAGTAGCAATGGACAAGAGATTTTAAGATACTGTATGTATAAGGTGAGTATTTATTACCATTAAAGAGCATAATGAGGCACAAGCCTTAAGGCTACAATATGAATTCAGGCAAAAATAAAAAGGGTTTAAACCACATGAAGTTTTAATATGCATACTCACATCAGAGGTAATCTGGACCTCAGAAAGCTGATCAGCAACACTTTTTACTCCTCCTTTAAGCTGTATATAAACAATGGTATTTGGTTCTCATTTACTTGCGCAAAGCAATCACTAACAACTGCAATGCCCTGCCTCAACTTTGTTGCTGTTCTGATATTTTTTCCACTGATTACTTTAAAAAGCTGCCACACGAACCTACCACTTTACAAAAACAGAAATAATAATTAAAAAAGAGTGAATTCTGTGGCTGTGGGCTGCTTATTTACATCCACAATCTGCTGCAGATGGCTGAACCATGGAGACTGCCTAGCTTTCGTTAGATAGTACACCATTAGCATGCAGAACCCTAGTGTTCTTTTAATGAAGTTCACATTAAACAGCATACCTCAAGCAAATACAATGTACAGCACAAAAGGCGACAACAGGTTTGAGTTGTATGTCTTGTCTAGACGCACCCCAAGAAGGCCAGGAAAAGGGGTAGATGCCTTCTTCAACAAAAGACAATTAAATGAGAAGGAATGCAGCAGATAAAAATAGAAGGCAACAAATGATTTTCCTTCTCTACAACACAAGCCTTTAATGCATGAGGACTCTTCTTTCTTGAGGTTTGTCTTTACATGTAACAGATTTCAGTCCACACACAATTATCTAGGTTGCTAGTTTTGATATTGAGACACCCAATAGTTGCTGCGTAGTATTCCTTTAACGTTAACATGAATTACTAGACTGCTATGGCACCAAGCACCTGGGTTCTGCTAGACGATAACAAAAATCCCTACGAGAACTGAAGGCATCTTTGTTCTAAATACTTTGACCAGGTCCTATAATTGCAAATATGGGCTCTTACTCTGCATTTTCTCATCAACTGTGTTACATGTATGTCATGTTCTATTTTCCTGCAACTAAAATGTACAAAACTGTAACTGTAGTTTAACAGCTAAGCTGAACACAGTATACTGATGTTATTTGGGTTAGGCACTCCTTAACACTGCTTAAAACATTTTGTAATCATCTTTGCCCAAACCCCGGAAACAAGAACTGCCAGACAAGAAAACTTAATGTTACATACATGAAAGCAATAATATCAAGCTACACTTGCATGTGGCAGTTGAACAGTTACGAGAGAAACTGAGGGAAAGTTATAACTGGGGAAAAAAATCAGATTAATGATTACATTGCTAGATCCACTCACACAGCTTGAATTTGCAGCTGCTGTTTTCTCTAACTTCATTCACATCCCCCGCCCCCCGCCAAAGACGTCCTTCAAGAAAAGGAATTTCCCTACACAAAATGTGTCATGTTCACATAAAAGTCTATTTGTATAGTTCACAATGGAATAGTTTTCCTGGCAGAGATTGTGAGCTCGCAGGGACATTTAAGCTTTCAAATAAACTGGAAAGCAGTCAAGTCTTCATGTCTACAAATTTTACACTGAAGTTCCACAAGTTTGGCAAACGTTCGCATGGTGGTGTCTAGGATGTCTTCACCAAATCATAGACATAAATATGGAAATCATCATCAAACTTGATGAAATAGACAGAGGGTTTGGCTTCAACTTGATGAATGACCATGCCAGTCCTTTTTGAGCCATCTTCTTTGGCATATTCCACTTGTTTTCCCACTAGGCTGTCCACAACTTCACCAGGTTCCCGTTCTGCTGGAGGTGAATCATCTGAAAATACCAAGTTTCGTTAAGATAAGCGAATTTCAAGGAATGCACTCTCACAATCATTGTCAAAGAGTTGACCAATTAACCCTTCTTAGTTACGCGGAACAATTTAGCGGCTGCTTCAATCCCAGCAGGATGTATATAGCAACATATTCTGACCACAGCAGTTCTAGTTCCTAACCCATGGAAAAATCTACCACTGGATGTACAATTTGGAAAGTAACAGCATTTCTGTTATTCATCTGTAACTCACAAACCCAACTCAAAAACTCATGACTCATACAAAATACAGTTACAGCAAGAAGATTCTGGCTACACTACTCTTTAGAATTTGTTAAAAAGGGAAAGTAGTTAAACCTTTGCAGTTGGTAGATACAGTTTGTAGTACTTTGGGTCAGTTGTTCAAGTGATTCAACATGCATTTTAGCAAATTTATTCAGCTGTATGCAGCACAGGGAAGATAGCAGTTGACTTTATAGCTCCCTCCCCTCCTTGTCTCCCCATGCACAGAGAGCTAGTTCAATAAATTTCTTGTTTAATCTGGATTAAGTACCAATCCAGGCTAGAAAACAAATGGGAACCCCATGATAAGTTCTCTTTTGCTTGTCAATTTGTATCTGCTGTACCAAGTGCTGGTAAATATTGTAATTCACTACGTTATAGAAAATGAACAACTGCATATCCTTGTTTAGGATTTATAATATACTGTAAGTTGTCCAGAGATGACAATGATGGACAGCCTATAAATCTCATAAATAAATAAATAACCATAGATTGTTCTGGGAAGTTCCAGGAAGACAAGGACATAGAGGTGAAAATCGTTTAATGCTGCAAATTAAGCCTAGTGCCATTCATTCATGCTTGTTTAACTTGTGCCTGAGAAACAGTAACAGAATGACCTTAGTTATGGAATTGGCTTCCTCTCTGGCTTGAACTTACTCCATAGAAAGTGGATCATCTTCTATATTTGACCACCATGGGCAATTTTTTGCACTAAACTAGTAAGCTACTTTAAGGTTACTTGACAGCCAATAACACCAATTTTGCTGGTTAGTGACACTGCAAAATGACTGCTACCCTAAATTTTTCTTCTGATAATTCAGGATACAGAGAAAAACTAATGCATGAAGAACCTTGAACAATGAATGTAAACCATTCATTACCACAATACTTAGGGTACTCTTCCAGTACCTCTAAATCACAAACATCTTCTGAGTTTCTTTTTCAAGTGCCTCCTCTGAAGAAAGTTCAGTGGATGGCAACATAGGAAAGGGCTTTCTTAGTAATACCTCCTCTGCTGTGAAATGCTCCCTTCAGTAAGGTCTGCCTGCCATGAAAATTACCATTTTTTCAGTGCTAGGTCAAGCTTTTTCTCTACTCCCAAGCATTTAACAGGATATGCTAAGGCTGTTTAATGAACCTGAAATTTTTATTGCTAAATGCTTAACATCTTTTTTTGTGTGTGCGCATGCAAACATGTTAATAGTTTCATATTATATTATGGTATTCTGTTTTTATGGTGTTAATCTCTGTAAATGCATCATAGAACTTTGGCTACTGGTATATACAATAAATGATATGAAATGTAGGTTATAAAAGGAAAAAACCATCCATAAGACAAAATTCATATAAGATTATATTAAGTACAAACAGAGATATTCAGAAAAGGTGATTCCATTAATGTTTTGAATGTACAAACTATGATGTTTAAGGGTTTTTTTCCCCAATAATATTTGCCTTGTAGGAGGATATGGTCTTTCCTATGGGTATATAGAATATAAACTTAATTTTTTGTTCACAGCTATAATTATCATCCTTGGAACTGTCCTGCTGCTTAGCATTATAGCATCAAAAAGAAATGCTATCTAAAAACTTCACATCAAACCAAATTACTAGACAAGGGTAATGAACTTGTAGCCTTCCAGAAGTTTTGGCCTTCAACACCCCTTATCCCTAGCTAGAAAAGACACTTGAGAGGGATAATGGGAGTTGTCCCTCCTTCCTGTAGACTCTAAGTAGTCATTTGTTAAACAATTGTTCTAATCAAGCATAACTACCTTTCAGAAAAAGCTAGTATTTCTGGCTTCTCTCTGCAGTGGTCCTAAAGTATATTTTTAGCCAGATTTATTTTGCAATAAAGAGCCTAACATGAAGTGTCAAAGAAGTGGAAATATGCCTTTTCTACCACCCTGCATCAAGTTAGGGGATCTCACCAGAAGACAAGTACCCCAGAACTCTGTCTAGAAGCTCAGAGATGGCAACTTTAGACATACCAGATGTCCATGGATCCACAGCTTTGAAGCACTCTCGAGTTGCAAACCCAGCAACCCATAGACCACTCCCAGAGCATGACAAGTACAGGCAGAATAAATCACAACAGGTGAAGTTACACTAACCAATAACTCCCCCATTTATTAGTTTAATATGCAAAAACAATCCAATCACAAACAACTATGTATTAGAGTCTAAATCAGGGGTCCTCAAACGTTTCCATCAGGGGGCCAGTTGAAAACTGCTGGTGCTGGGCGCGGGCTGGAAAGGTGGTGCTGGTGGTGCATGCAGGCTGGCGCAGGGGTGGCATGTGTGGGCACAGGGCGCGCAGCAAGGTGAGGTGAGGCGTGCGAGGGGAGGGGAGGCATGGGCGGGGGCAGGTACATACCACAAGGTGGGCACATGAGGCAGCAGCTTGCTCGCTTGGAGATTGTTTTCTCCGAACAATCAAACCGCTGCCTCCCTGCATGCGGGGTGAGGTGGGCAGCAGAGGGTCCAAATGGGGATGGCAAGCCAGATAAATGGGCATGGAGGGCTGGATCTGGCCCCCGGGCGGTAGTTTGAAGACCCATGGTCTAAATGAACTCCCTCTAGCTTCTGGGACATCAGAACACTGACAGTTACAAATGGAAAGGATGGGATATAATTTTTCCTGGAGCTGGTTGCAATATCTATAGAACACAAAAGGTGGTCTAATTATGCAACTATAAGGAAATGTTATGAATATGAATACCTACATAGCTCTGCACACGCTAAATAGCTAACAGGGATCAATTCTTTCTCTCCTTCCCTCCTGTAACAAAGACACACCTCTCCAAATAGCAAGCTGCCATTCAATCCTGGAGCTGCATTTTGCATGCAGAACATTCAAAATCATGTTAAAATCAGTAGCGGTACGGAACATTCTCTGTTCTTCTTTGCTTTCTGTATGTCTAAAGCATATGAAGACATTATAGCATGTTAGCAGCGTAGTTTATAACAACTGTATTTCGTGTTAGTACTCCAGTTCAGCTACAACTCTCTTTACTCAATCAAGTCGGAAGCATCTTAAATAGATTTTCTTTATAGAATATTAAACAAACTTACTGGAATCGGGCATAATACGGAGATCACCTTCTTTATAGTCATCTAAGAGTTGGTACATGTACAAGACGGGATCCTTCTCATAGGTAATATAAAACCATGTGTTCATTATAGGTGCTCGAGCCAAGACCATTCCCCTCCATTCATCTTTTGAGCCATCTTCTGTCTCAAACATATGTTCTACTGCTTTGCCAATCATTGTGTCAGCTAGGTGGGCATCACTGATTCGAGATGAAGCTGGAAAATAGACCAACAGTTAGTTAACATTTTTCTAGTAGTGTGGCTGCTACTTCTTAAGATGTCAGAAAAATAGTATGGTTTATTCAGGCTGAGGTAGAAGGCTCTGTCTGTGGTTACATAATGAACAATTCCCTGCTATCATATTGAGATAGAGAAGTTATTTCAATAATCATTATAGCTCAGAGGTTAAAGGAAATCATTTTGATTAGAGGCACTGAAGAAATCAAATGCATTAGGAACTTCACAAGCCTGTTTTTAGAAATGGCTATAACAAGGAGAGAGGAACTACCAACATATTTACTGAATTTTGAAGTCAGACATTAATTGCTGGTTGAAAGAAATAAAATGTTAGAAATATGATACTATGGTCTACTATTCAAATAAAATGACAAACAGCATGCACAACTCCTAGAGAGCACCCCAAGTGCTTTGCTAGGTTTAGGTATTAAATAAAGGCCTGAAATAACTATCTTGTTATTTGGAGCATATCAACTAAAAATAGCCACTGCTTATTTGGCGCACAAGAGGTAAACAAGCTGAGTCAGCTGAGTTTGAGGGACAATAACTAATTCTTCTAACCAGATTGACATACTTAAGGAAACACACAAGTATATTGGGTGTAATGGGCATAGCCTAGATGGGGTCTCAAGTCCTGTGCTTTTAATCAAGCAAATATTTGCCAGTGAGAGATAACATAGGGATCCTTTACTAAGTACCTAAAGATATCACTGTGCACTATTAAGTTCCATTTTATCCCTCTAAGATTAGACAGTTATTTTATTAAATCTAAATCTAATTTTATATTGTACAATGTATGTCTTCATACTGCTGGGTCAAATAGAAAAATCCCATCAAACCTTGCATCTCATTTAGTATAGAGGTCAACAAAATGCTTGCAGGAAGTTCACAAGGAGGACATAAAGGTAACAGCTCTAGTCTGGTTTCACTCATCCAGAGCATACAGTGATTTTTTTAGAAATATTCACTCCCCACACATTTGACTGCTCCATATTTTGTTGCATGACAACCTGGAACTAAAATGGATTTAACTTGCATTGCTGGATTTTATGTAAGCAAGATAACTCAACACTGTGAAGATACAAAATATCTTTCCTGTGGCACAAAAGTTAAATGAATAGAAAGGAACAGGCATTTGTTGGCTGCATATGTATTAACCCCATCCTGCCTGAGTAAATACTTGGTGGAAGCACTTTTGGCAGCAATTACAACTGTGCATCTTCTTGACTAGGTCTCTATCAACTTCGTGCATCTGGATCCTGCAATATTTTGGCATTCTTCCTAGTGAAACTACTCTAGATCTGTGAGACTGAATGCTGACTATTGGTGAACACCAACTTTCAAGTCTTGCCACAGATCCTCAACAGTCTGGGCTTTGACTGGACCATTCGACGACATCCATATGATTTTCACATACTCCAGTGTTAATTTGGCTGTGTGTTCAGAATCACTCTCCTGTTGGTAGGTGAACCTGCATGCCAGTCTTGGCTTCCAGGCAGACTGAAACACATGTTCTTTTAGAATCACCATGTCTTTCGCTCCATCCATCTTGCCCTCAATCCTGGTGTTAAAGAAAAGCAGTCCTAAAACATGATGTTGCCACCACCACCAAGCTTCACTGCATGGATGGTGGTTTCAGGGCATAACATTTTACAGCAAGGCAAGAAAGTTCAATTTTGATCAGATCAGACCAACAAATCCCTTTCTACATGTTTGCTAGATCACCCCCTGCTTTTTTGCAAACTCCAAATGAGCTCTGACAAAAGATTGGCACAGTAATGGTTTTCTTCTTGCCACTCTTCCATTAATCTCTGTTTCAAAAAGCATGCAGGTGATAGCTGTCCTATGGGGGGTTTCTCCTGTCTCAGCCACTGATATTTCTAGCTTCTTCAAAGTTAATCATTGGCCTCATTGCTTATCTAACTAATGCCCTCCTAACCCAAGAAGAGATTTGGTTGACAACCTTTTCAAAGTAGAATCACAGTTGCAACAATTCTTAATACTGGATTCAATGTTGTTCCAAGAAGATACTTATAGTTTGGGAAAAACTCTGGTAAGTGTTGTGCAGAACTTTATCCCAGAGTTTTGATAGCTTCTTGGTCTTTCTGATGTTGATTTTAGGAATGTGCTCCAACAAAATGTGGGGCCTTCCAGAAATGACTATTTAATCTGAGTCATGTGGCACTGGAACTGCACACAAGTGGGTGCCATTCAACTACCTACAATCCTCTGGAGGCAGTTGCACAAAAACTTAGGTATTACACAACAAAGTGAGCGAGCATTTATGCATCCAACAAATGCCTGTTTTTGTTTACTTTAATACCATGATAAAACATATTCTGCATCTTCACAAAGTTGAGTATCTGGTATACATCAAGAGGTAGCAATGCCAATTAAATCTATTTCAATTTCAGGTTCTAGCACATCAGAATATTGAAAAATCAAAGTGTGAGGGCTGTGAACAGTTTTGCATGGCACTCTACTGCCTTTGAATCTGAAGTATGCAGACAGCCATCAGTACCATCAGCCAGTGACAGAAATCTTCTCCTTCAGTTTGCATAGTCTCGTAATAAAGACACCTAACCTGGTGACCACTATCAGATCCTATGGCAAAGAATTCCATAAACTGTGTGTTGTATGAAGTATTGTTTGTTTTAGTAGTAGATCTTAGAGGAACAAATCAGTTTCACTGGATGGTAAAGTTCTAGTTTTATGAAAGAGGAAAAGAAATATCCATCTAGTTACTGCATGTCATGCATATTTTTTTCAAAACTGTCATATCCAGCTCCAAAGATGCTTTGGGAAGTTTCTCAATCCATCTTTGTAACTCAAAGCATAATCTACTATTTTAGTGGCATGGACTGCCTTGAATCATTTAGGCTGGTGAACAGCTGAGACTCTGGACAGAGCCCTGCTCTAGTAACCTCCCTTAGACTAGACTCCTCCCTTCCTTTTAAGACAGGTCAGAAAGATGAGTTAGCAAGCCAGTCAAGACATCTGAACTAACTGGGATGGGATATTATTGTATCAAACCTATGCCATGCCCATTGTGTTGGCAACCAGTCTGCTTCCAAGTTCAATGTAAAGAGCTGGCCTTGATTATTAAAGCCCTTTGTGACTTAGAGGACTACCTCTCTCTGTACACTGATCTTTAGTAGAGATCAATTGCACTTTGGCAAGGGCCCCTGCTGTATGCAGCAATCAACTGCTCCCAGGGAGAGTGCCTTTCCAGTAGTGGTGCCCCAATTATAGAATGCTTTCTCTCTGGGAAAGTTTTCTTGGTGCCTTTGTCCTTATAGCACCATGACTTTTCTATTTTCCCTGGTCTTTTACACAGAATTTTAGCCCTGCTAATAGCTTATCTGACTTTTAGTAGCCTGCTGTGTTTTAGTCTGTGTTTTATATTTAGATTTGCATGAATTGTATTTTAGTTATTTTTGTACTTCTTTATATAAACCATCCAGAAGCTTTATTGAAAGGAAGTATAAGCGTATCTATAATTCATAAATAATCTCTGGACCAAAGAGTAGGTGGTGGCTGGGGCAGATGGTGGTACCTGGTGAAGGGTGTGGAGTCTTCTGGAAAAGGCCCAAAGACTGGACTGGGTCTCCAGAAGAGCTGAAGTTAGCCCATGGGCCGGAGGTATCCCATTTCTGCATTGTTACAATAATTTCTTTTCCAGATGCCTTCATGAACTTGCCCCATTTCTCAAACTCTACTGGAATGGGGGCAAAAGTATGGTGACAGCACTGAATTACTTTGTGTACCTGGTACTACTAAAAACAGCAATCCTGTGCAGGTATCTCTTTGTTTATCGGATTCTATATGCTCGGTGGACATAGTATTCATAATCACATCCAAGGAAATGTATTTGTCTTGAACTGGATTCTTCCAGCTGCAGTTCTAAGACTGCTTAGAAACTCCAATTAAATAGATAAAATTGTATCAACCTACAAATCAGAAGATGCTTTGAAGATTTCGACAGGAGGATGGATAAGTTTTACAAATAGATAATAAATTTGAAAAGAGACGATTGTTAAAGCAGTCGATACATTTTGTAGAACAATTTTTTAGAAATGTCTTTATCCTTAAAGTCCTAAATGGTTTTATTTGAGTCTACCAATGAAGCCGTTTGCAGGGCAATGTTAAAATTTTAAGTTTACCACCTATATTGCTGATAATCTATTTCCCATCTTTCTTCAGCTTTTGGCAATGTAAACCAACTTGGATGCTCAAAATCAACACATCAGGCACTTACCAACTCTATCGGGGAGGACTTCAAGCGCTGAAACCCGCTCATCTTTGTGCAATTCTAGTCCATACACACAATCAAATCCATCATATTTAATAAGGTAGAGAGAGGGGTTTACAGGAACCTGGTCTAGGACTGTGCCTTTCCACTGTGTCACAGGTCCACTCCCTTCTTTCCATCCATGCTGTATTCTGCAGCCCACAATATTCCTCCTGGGTTGAGAAATGGGTTTGCTTGGTCCCACGTTGTTTCGATGCTTTCTGTATTTAAACATACATTCATAAGACAACTGAATTATTCCAATATATTCTGCAGAGTAAAGCACCTGAAACTAGGGTAAACTTGTATTTGAGTCCCCTTAACTACATAACCCAAAATTGTGCAAGCTTATTTTTAAGAACATGTCCAGGCCACACTAGACCTCTGTGTAAGAATGCAAGAACAACCATGCTGAATTGGACTAAGGGTCCATCTATTCTAGCATTTTGTTCACACGATGACTTGCCCAGTTGCTCAAAGGAAACTCACAAATCAGGATATACCACGCTCTGGTAACTTCCCGGTTGGACTATTATCACACGCTCTACATGGGGCTGCCTTGAAGATGGTCCGGATACTTCAACTGGTTCAAAATAGAGCTGCCAGATTGCTGTCAGGGGCCAGTCGCAAGTGTCATATAACACTGGTCTTCTATCAGCTTCACTGGCTCCCCATTGCAGTCTGGGTCCAATTTAAGATGCTGATATTAATGTATAAAGCCCTAAACGGCATGGGACCAGGATACCTGAAGGAACATCTTTTTCCCTATATGCCCTGCTCTGAGAACCCTCCTTGAAGGCGGTTAGGAGAGAACACTTGGAGGAGGGCTTTCTCTGCAGTGGTGCTGGGCCCAGCGATGGACTGTGCTCCCCAGAGAGGTTTGCCTGGCGCCAATGTTACATGCTTTTCAGCGCCAGGTCAAGACCATTTTATTTATCCTATATTTTGAAGTTTAAATATTTTAATTATGTTTTTATCCTCAGTCATGTGTTATGATTTATTAGGTGTTTTATATTGTAAACCATCCAGAGACAAACTAATGGATGGGATAGAAATACCCTAATAAACATAGGCACACCACCACCTCCCACTCTGCCCAAGGGCTTCAGCAACTAGTATAACCTCAGCATATTGCTTCTGATAGTGGAGGAAGCATATGGTCATCACAGGGGACAAGGAGGGATAAAATTATAATAAAAATATGCACCAGCCACACTTTCTCACGAGCACTATGATATGCTACAGAGAGAGCACTGTAGCCCTCTCTCATGGCAAATATCTCCAGATACAGAATGAGGAAACGTCCTGGACCAAGGGGTCACCTACTTCGTGAATTTTCAGAACTATCCCAGAATCTATGAAGTAGCGAGTCCTGAACCAACTCAAAGAAATGCCTGCGACTCTAAGCGGGAACTGTAGTTTGGACCAGAGAAACGCTAGTCTCAGATACACAACCTGGAGTTCTCCAGATGCCTTTGAATATAGCTCTCTGACCATTGCCCTTCCCAGAAGGCCACCAGGTTGCCTACTAAGTCTCAAGGTATACCTCTACAGTTAGATGTGCCGGCCTCTTCATTACTTGACGACTAAGATACAGGAGACTCTGTGCTCCTGCTTGAATCCAAAGATGCATGGAACTCCTTCTCTTCATGCAACAGGGATTTTCCGCTTCCCTATTTCTGAACCTTCCCTCTAGAAAAGCTTTGTGTGTGTGTGAGGGGAAGTAGGTGGGGATTTTGAAAATGCAGGCTCTCCCTCATTCAGGTACTCAGTGACTGCCTCTGCTCGATATGATTGCCTTCTGCACTTGAGATGCAAGTCACAGGAAAAATTGTAGAAGGGCTACTTAGGGTAAGCTCAACTATAAAATATTTGATGTCTACCTAGGAAATTCCTGTCAATAAGCCTTAGGGCTAAGTTTGTACTGAAGTATGAAAAATGTGATTATGAGACTTCCCTTTTGCTCTAGGAATTTCTCCAACTCTGGTGCAGGACATTTTGATTGCAATTCAGGGAACTTCAGATAATTTCACATAACAATTTATTTCTTGTCTCTTAAGTGTGTATTTGGAACACAAGGGGAACACAACATGCCAACCAAAAATATCACAGGACTTGGCTCTCAAAGTCTGTGATTCATGACTGGTAGTTGAAAGACCGCTTACATTGTCCAATTCTTAACTCACTCATTTTTATTTTTTCATAAAGCATCAGCAAGTGCTACACAAAGCTTAATTAAATATTATGGCTACAACCAAAAGGAGCTTAGGATTCTTAGGAACAAAACATCTAATTCTTAGGAACAAAACATCAGTGAAGCTCCTGAATAAAGTAGCAAGCCTCAATAAAGCTGACACTCCTAAAACTTTGTATATACCACAAAAGTTGCAAGACAGTGGATAAAGGTTCACCAAACCACTTACTTGTGGGAAGCTCTCTTCTTCATCATGCTGGCAGACACACCTGCATGCCCTACAAGAAAGAGGGCAATAGTGACTCAGCCAGCAGGCATAGGTTCATACAGATTAAGCTTAAACTTTTTCTCACACACAGTATCAACTTGCTGTGGTTACAAATGTTCAGTTTAATACCCAGCACACAGTATATGCCAATGAAATATTAACAGTACTAATTTATGCGGCTTTAGACAACCAAGCTTTACATTTCACTTGTAAGAGCATTACTGCCACCAGCAGACCAGAGTCAGATATCTGGGGCATACAATTCCCTCATCTGGCTCCCCTCAGGTACAGCAGAGGGGTTTTATTTTCCTGCTCATTGGGAGTTTCTTCAGCAAGGTCACAGCTCAAGACATCTCTTTTACATACCTCAGATAAGACACCAAACTTTAGTGCAGTTTGATGTCCATCTCTCCGTTCAGGCAGAGCCCATTATCTTTTTTCCTTTTCCTCATGACAGGGTGGATGAAAAACAAGGATTTAAAAAAAATTAAAAATGATTTTTTAAAAATTCAAATTGGATTAAAAAAAATAAAATGCTTTGAGGTAAAATCTATCTACAAATAGTTTTTTTATTTAAGATACATTACAGTCCAAAGGTTATTCATCATGAAATAGGGATTAGTTTGTAATTACATGAGGCTGCATATTCATGCAATTTTTAAATTTTTTAGTAAATGAATTCCATTAATCCCTTTACAATGTTGTGCTTTTCCAGGGGTTTCTATAAGATTACTGGGAAAATTTTCTATACAGAAGATGTTATCACAGATGCTTGGTTTTACAGTTCTCCAAGTTGTGAATTTGTGTCTGCAGAGATCACATGTCTCTTCTTCACAGCAAAAATGTTACAAAATAAACATGCAGACTTGAGAAAAAACTTAATTCCATTGTTCCTTTGCAAATCTATGTGCACAGAATCAAACCCTTGCCTCTTAAGTGCTAAGTTTCAAAATAATTCTATGACCAGAAGAAAATTGTTGGGAGTGGAATAGATCTACACAAGAAACTAAGAGTGAAGAGGGTAGGGTGAGCCGTAAAAATGAAAGTGAACCCCTTTGAGCAGAATACTCCACAAGTGTTTGGATCTTTTCATGTATAGTCTGATGTTTATCATATTCTTGTTCCCCTGGAGAAAACCTGTACTGGCAGCAAGCCATAAAAGGAAATGCTTTAATAAATATTTGGGAATATTTTAATATTCTTTGGGAATATTTTAATAAAGGTCCTCTACCTACAGGTAAAGCAGGCATGCATGCAAATTATGCAGAAAATCAGGATTTAAATCTAGTCTTACTGACTAGTGATTTAAATCAAATCTACCCTGCCTCATGACATAAAAGTCCATGGGTGGGATCCAAACATTTACATGCTTGGGGTAGACTCATTGAAATCCATGGAACTCAAGCTAGCCATTACTAGCTTGTCCCATAGAAATGATCTACTTCTAAGCATGACTAAGTGCTAATCTGACCACAAACATGGTCATGCTTTTGTCCACTTTCTTACAGATGAATCCAGTCTTCATGATTTTTTTTCAGGTTTCAGAATGACATACTAGCACCAGGACTAGGTCTAGGAAATTCCGATAATGTGCCTTTCTTGCATAGTAGTTTTCCAGAATTTCTCCATTATACACTTTAGTCCATGTACTTCCAAAAGCCTGGCTGACACAGAAGTTACAGGCACAACTTCCACCAATCAAGGGTATCTTAGATCATGTCCATCATCACAAGAAAAGCTGATTTGTCAGATGCTTTCTGTAAAAATTATCTTCAACACTGCCATGTATAAACTGATTGGTCATAGTTCAAAAAATCACACACATGCATTATGGAGCTAGACTCCACCAATCATTTCTTTGTACCTTTGATGACTATCCATCTGTAAGTACCTAAATTAAAATAAAACCAAGGGATACCCTTGATCTGGTAACTATTATTTTCCTATCACAGTTGCCTTCAGTAATTTGTTCCCTGGAAGAGACTCTTTCAAAATCAATTATCCCATCGGCTGGATCCACATCATCAAGCAACACTAAACCTCTGCCCCCAAGCATAACTGGCCAAGAATCCTGGATAAGAGAATCCAGAAGGTGAATCAGGTATCACTACCTAGAGAGATGGATGCTATCCATCACATTATTTCCTGTCCAGATGCCTATATATGGATGCTGACTTCTGGCCTAGTAGCTTAAGTCTTTGTGCCAGGTCAGGAAACACCTAACAGCTAAACAGTCAAACAATTCTAACTATCTGATTCCTACCTAGACTTGCCTTTATTTTTTAATACTTTTTCTTTTGTTTTATCAATGCAGATCCTTGGAAATAGGGATGGGGGACCACCACTTTAACATGGTGTGAGTCTACAAACTCTTTATATGCACGTGTCTAAGTATGCAAGTTATGTTATTTTTATTACTTCAACCTACATTGACCTTTTTGCATAGAGCACCTTAGGTATAGAATTAAAAAACTTTTACTAATCAGTAACATATGAACAACATGTAAAACTAAGTAAGGATATCAGGAGGGGCTATATTATTTGACTTGTCTTAATATATGCTAATCAAGTCAGTTTGATGAGCCAAAAGCCTGTCCAGATTTTCACTTCACAGAGAAACAGGCTTTCAGAAAAAGGAAAAAAAGAAAAAGAAAAAACCTGGGGAAAAAACCTTCAAGCAGTAGCTTAAGGCCATTAAGGAGATGAACAACTTCCACCCACTCTTTGCACATGGCACCTATTTAAACTAGAAGCACTATATTACTGTGCATGTGGAACCTCCCGATGCCAGAATCCGGAAAGGCTAGCTCAGTTATTCAGCTGTACATAGTACACTAAAGAGCAAATGAACCTGGAACCAATTACTCCATGAAAACAAAGGAGTTTTAAAAACAATTGCCCAAGAACAAATTTGCTGCCTGGCATCTTCACCAAATACTGGTCCTGTGTATCTTTAACACAGAAGTGTTCACTGGAGATGCCAGATTTGTTTACCATGCTATAGGAGGCTCAAGAGTACCTAACAAGGCATGCCTACCTTCTGTACGCCATCACAGATTTGTCTGCCTGAGAATGAGGACCACTGCAGCTTGCTTTTGTAGAGAAAGATGTGACTTTTTTCCACCATTATTTTGTGATTTGCCTTGCCCATAGCCCTGGTATCTGGTCTCCTGTGACGACCTCCTGGATCACTGTGAACCTTTGAGAAAGACTCTTAGACCCCTCTGAAACATGTAAATACCTACACTCCGTCTTTATCTTAGCTCTCCCATTCTACCCACTGCATCGCCAAATCCCACCTTATTTACAAGTTTTGTCCTGTTATGTCTAATGCCATCTCGTAAATCTGTAGAACCTTCCCTTCATTTATTTGGCAACTGTAACTTCCTCATTTCTGCTGCTCTTTCTCTATTTCCTTAAATACATATAGAGGAGTTTGCAGCATCACCTAGTGTACTGCTTAAATAAATGGGTTGTAGCACACACCAGCACACTTTTTGAATGTTTAAGGTGGATTGGGCAGTCACTATGACAAAATCTGAGCCTAGTAAGAACAGGTTACTGGTATGGTTAAACTACCCAGCATCCATGGGATATTGTAGAGTTGTGGGTTGTTCTCACAGCTAACAGGCCATTAACATTACAGCAGTTTCAGAAGTCACAGTAACCCATGATGATTGCCACTGTGGCTGAACATTCGGAGTGGATGCCAGCATGTGCTGTAATCCACTGCAGCAATTGCGCAAACCATCCCAGAGAAAGAGAAAATGAGAACATGATATTCCAAAGACCCAAGCCTAACTGTATGTATTTAGCCACTCAGATTTCAAACCCATCTCTTTGATTATTCTAGTATAATTTGCCCCCAGAAAGCCTGTATCCTTTGATGGAAGTCTCAGTATGTGTTTAGTATGCAATATTGTTTTGGTTAAGTATCAAGCACAATGTCCCGTCTTTCTAGGGCCATGTTCTACATTTACAAATGTAGTCCATTCGCATGTGTTATGGCATATGGGTCTTTGTTCACTGGTTGTCTCAGAATGTTTTCTCTATGTTTCCTCGATTACCTGTTTAGCTAAGTCTTTTCAGACTTCTAAGAAATGTTATCTCTAGGTAACAAAAAGAATTAAATCCATATGGACATATGGAAAATTTATATTTGTCATGAATCACTCTTAGATCAGGCTTATCTTTCTTTTACTATTAAAAAATATGCATAAAACACTCAGTACAAGGCTTATAAATGCATAGATTCAAACCCACAATGCACTAACTTAAGGCTTAAGCTGAGCAAAAACAAATCAGGCAGCCTTCTTCATATTAAAAGGGGGTAGCTTTCTGTAAGATTGCTCCACTGCAGTTTTCAATAAATTGCCTTTTAATATCTTTTCAAACTCTTAAACATGTCCAGATTTTTTCTTTCATTTTTTAATTCATATATTCATGTCCTGTTAATAGTTGCTGATTAAAATACATTCCTGAACTTACATTTTTCTTCCTAAATAACTATGTCTAAACATTATTACTAAAATGCAGACCTCTTAGTAATATCTATTGCACTAAAACATACTTACAACATTTCTGATTCTCATGACATGTTACCAGTATATATGTGACAAAATAGTTATTTTCCTTCCATACTCTTTGAGATTCTGTGTCTGCCAAAACAAGTCCCTTCTATTTATGATCCCTTATGTGATCATATTCCCAATGTTATAGTCCTTTTTTTTTTTAACTTTATTGACTCTGTAACTGTTTTAGTTTACATTCTCTGCTCTGGTACCTTCTATCAGATAAGTGTACTGAAAGGTAATTATGTATACTCTGGCACCTCCATCTTCATCTGGAAGAGAGAAAAAAGTGTGTATACATACATATATTTAAACAATGGTATGTGACAATTACTGGGTCAATGACAAGCCAACCCATCATGAGTAACTAGTCAACCTGGACCACTTCTCTCAGGGTGGCTTGGCTCTGGGCAACAAGCCACCCTGCCAATCGGTAGTTTGTTCTAAGAGGTGATGTATGGTTTAAACTCAACACACTTATTCCAACATGCATTCCCATCAGGGAAGCAGTGAGTTAGTTGCTTGGCAAGACAAGCAAAAACCGTTTGCTGCCACTGCAGATGACAGCTGTTCTATCAAATGCTCAAGCGGCAGATTGGCACTGCCATCTCTGGTTTATCACATACATTTTTTTTAAGAAACAGCAAAAGAACTATTTTTAAAAATTGGTGGTGGGGGGGAGGAGTTCACTGCAGTGCAAGCATGCAACTCCAACTACTTGATATGTAAACCTTGCCTGCTCAATGTCCTGGTATACACCTGCTGTTACATATGGCTATGTATCTATACTTATCCCTGTCAAAAGAAGTGTTTAGCCCAGTCAAAAACCTTACATTTTACCACTGTCAAAACTAGATTCTCCTGTAAATGGTGCGTGGCCGCACTTTTCCTGTTTCCTGGGTACCTGGAGTCTCAGATACTGTGGAAAAGGTGAGTAACAATTAAAACCTACAGTACTACACTGCAAACTCAATGATCTACTTGCCACTGGCCTTTGTCAGCAAAGAGCTTGTGGTTTGCTTGCACAGCTGCCAAGTGAAAGTAAAGTAACATATCTGAATCCTTTGTCAATAACAGCAGATGCTTAGCAAGACGCTGACCAGGCAAGACTTTTGGGTAGCTGGAGCTGCACAGTTGTGCAACTGGGGACTACCAACTGAATTTATTTTAATTACCATAAATATTTTCATATATCTGCTACAAAAACAAAGACAAAAAAACAGGTAACCAACCAGTGACAGTTGTTCCAATGTGCCAACCAGGCACTTTAGAGAGTCTATTACTTCCAAGGCCAAACAAAAGCCATCTCCAAAGAAAAGAAGGGCAAAGGCTGTAGTGAGTCATGATTACAGGGATGGGAGGCAAGCCAAGTCCTGCCATGCAGGTCCTTGGGATACCAGTGGAAGGACTGGGGTAAACAGGTGGGGGATAACTCATGGCAATTCTGATGTTCTGTCAGGTACACAGTGGGTTGCTGAACACACTCCCCAAACTTAAAAGCGTATTAAACGGGTGGATACAGTGCCATAAATCACACCATTATATTTTAATTCTTTATTTGATCAGTGGCAGCTGGTTATTGAATCTCTTAATTGCACAGCTAAGGCAATGATCCCAGATAGAGTTGCATGTTGGATGTAATATTACTTTGGAAGAAAACTAGCCCATGGAGATTTAGGAGCAGCAAAATGCCTCTGTTGTAAAATCTAGAGGGAGAATATTTTGATTTTCTGTTCCTGAAGGATGTGGTCATACATCCTTAACTGAACAGATTCATTAAAATGTAATAAACTACTCCTGTTTATACAATTATTTGAAAAACAAAACCAAAAGCCCTATCTTCACTTTTGCAAACATGTAACACATCATATTTATCTCCAGCATCTTGAATGACCCCAGATCTCCCAGAAAAATTACTGATAAAGTTTATGGTCTGTGCAAATCAATGCCTTATTAAATACTTAATACATTCCCCTCCCTGCCAAGGGACACACTTTTCTATGTTTTACTGAATTCAGGCTAGAGATCAGAGCCAAGGTCTTTCAGAAGCAGCTGATACCAATCTAGACTTCTAACCAGGAGAACTGGCAAGCTTTACTTGACAACTTATTACAGCACTTCAGGTTCCCCCCAAGTATGATTCCCATCATCCCCAGCCACCATGGCAAATGGTTTGCTTGCTGGGAACAAAGGACTTTAATGCAATTTCCATCATTTGGGTTAAACTGTGGTTCCCAACTCCATGTTCTATGCCTACCTTAGTATATCCAGACATATTCTAGTTGTGCTTTGACAGCTGGCATCTTTAGCATATATATTTTCATATTAAGTAATTTCTGGAAAACTAGAGAACCCAAACTTGCATTCTTCCCACTCAAATGACAACCCTTCCCATTTAAATGCCACTGCATTTTTAGGGGCTCCTCCAATATGTTTATACACCATCTATGCAATTTCCCCAACTTAAATATAATACATAAAGACAATGCAGAAGTCTATATTTACCTCAATGTAAATAGTTATCTCGGGAACTAAATCTTTAACCTTTGCTAAAAACATATTCTGATTATGCAAATACTGTGACTGCTTTACACTAGCTACATCAAACTAGACTACAGTCCAACTGCAAGAGCAGACTAATTGTCTAATAAATTACCCTTATTGATTAAGGCAATTTGATGAAGCCAGTTATATATCTTCTACTTCTAATTCAAATATGCAACATTCCTCTCATTAACCATATCATTGTCCTATTTATATAAGAGATTGTGCAGGGAGGGCCTATCTCATTTTCATCTGCACGAAGTGCTTCTGAGGTATGCTAACGCAAGCCAAATTATATCACTTATTAGAGCAAAGGATGAAGTGAAAACAGATGTTGTTTAACTATGTGGAGACATTCTTATTATGCAAGGAGGTGCTTGCTGGATGAATCATGATTGTGCCAACTAAGCCCTCTACCCTCCCCATGCCCAACATCCATGTTAGGAGGCAAAAAATGCATAGCAGTCTGCATATAGCTCAAACTATATGTTTGTATCTTTGTGTCTTTGATTTGAGCATCACAAAAATATGTAGTGCATAGGCTTCTATGCACATATATTGTCTAACATAAAGCTAGAAAGCATGCTGGACCTGACACCATAACTATGTTCTAATACGAGAACAACATTACATTCAGCTTTTGTATCATAAAAGCCAAATTTCCATCAAAATGAAACAAGATTAAGGACACATCTGATTTGTGAGGAGTCTTACACTGTAGAACAGTCTTCCCCAACCTGGTGGCCTTCAGAGGCATTTGGTCCAGAACTCCTAGCATTCCCATACAGCAGGGTCACTGACTGGGTGTTGCAGCTCATGTGTGTCATGAAGGCACAAGGTTGGGAATGACTGCCGTAGGACATCAAAAAGGAAGAACATCATAGACAGTGGTCAACTATTTTGGAAATGATTTGAAAAAATAAAGTAACTAAGTGAAGGTATTAAACTGTTGACAATTTTCTCAAAGACATCCTGAGTAATTGGTATAGATTTTCTTTAGCAGCCAGTAATTTTGATGAATAGCAAGAGCACTGCCTATCCTTTAGTCTAATGGATCTTATGTGCCTCTCATCATGCTGAGCATTTCAGTATGAATATACTAGTCTTTGTCTATGGTTGTAGAAGCTTAGTGTGACAAGTGCAAGAAAATAGTGAATGTTTTCAGGTTTCAAACCAGAAATCTGGCTTCCAGTACTTAGATGCACCACAATACAGCATATAGATCTGCAGCCATCTATATTTGCCAACAACTAATAGAATGCATGGAGAAATTACTTACCTGCATCAGCTCTGGATCGCTGACCTGGTGCCTTTCCAAATGGGGTCTTCATTCATCTGTATTTAAGTGAGCAGCAAAGCTGCAGTACTAGGGTGAAAATCCAGTTCTAGCTGGTGTTGTAGAGTTCTCACTCTTGGAATAAAAAATAAAGCAATCCAAACCAGGATTATCTTCACCCCCAGATGCGCCTTCAATTATAATATTCTGCAAAACAAAAATAAGATCAGAACCCTTTAAGGATGATAGTCAGAAATTGTGGAAGTCTTTCTGCCTGCTTTTCCCTTTCCTTACCATACTGGACAACCTCGTACCAACCTTTCTCCCCATCACCCACATTCCAGCACCAAGAAAAGAGTTTCTTAACTGGTAAAACTGCAAATGTTGCTACCATTCATAATCTTTCTTATCTGGTGTTTCATCAGGTCTCACTGATTGCCTGGAGGACCCCCATATTCCTTGCTGTCTGCATCAGCAACAGTGCAGCTTCTTCATCCTTCTCACTTGACTGGGTCTCCTGTGCACAAAATTCTTTTCCAGTTATAACTGCTCAAAAACTATTTCTTTAAAACCTTTTAATCCACAATTCTTCTGGATGGTAAGGAGGAGGCATAGCTCCCTATATAGCCTATCCTTCCTCAATACTTTCACTACACAATCCTCTGAGAAATGCAGTTGTTGCATTGCTGGGAAAAAAGGGAGAGGTGGACAGTCTTATTTAACATTATTTGGCATCAGATCAATTCAAGATAACTGAATGATCTGTAAGTAGGGAAGAGGGGAAAGAGTTGTCTAAGGATTCCATCTCCCAGTCCAAATACTCAAATAGTTTAATGGACAGTCTGCTTAATGGGGTATCTGCAGAATTGGGATTCTGCTGATAAGTTATCCAACCTGCTGTCTGTATGTCTCCTTGTCCAAGCTGATTCTATGGTCCCAAAGACACCAAGACAAGCATGCATGATGAAAACACTTTGCTTGGGGTTGCTTTTGAAGAATATATCTAGTCTTGAACACACACTAACCTTGGGTTTTTTAACCTGATTGAAGGAAGAGGTGGCAGGGAGCATTTGTTATCACTCTACCATCATGGATAGTTCACTATCTAGTCAGGCTTGGCTTTGTGCTGTCATAGACTTCTGCAGGGGTGAGCGGCTCATTATGATCATCTGTTCTTGAAGAATCATGGATCTAGATGGTTTCCCAACATTTGCAGCTGACTTGATTTCCTACCTAGCTAGTGATCCTACCAAAATTCTGCAGTTCTATTGGAATAAGATGATCCAGACCATCAATGCGATTGTTCCCAAACATCCTTAAATAAAGTTTCTTGGTGTACTGAGAATTAGGACATGATTGGATCCATGACTATAGCAT